CTAAAACCTAAGCCCGAAACCCAAGAAGAAACCCAAACCGAAAATATTACGATGACAGAAGTAGCTACAAGGCAACATGCAAAGATGGGCGACACAATGCGTTGCACCACGGCAGCAGACTTTAGTGTTCAGGATGTCATTCCAACACCGCTCGGTACAAAAACAAAAAACTACGACGTTCTTTGCTGGTAAAGACTTGGCTCAAGACACAGTCATCGCAAGTTGCGACGTAGTCGATACAATGCATGCAACAGCGATAGTGGCACTTGCCCTTCTGAACCGTCCAGTTATCCATTACAGGGTTTGGGTTTCAAAACCTTCTAATGTAGGGGCCTTCATAAGTAGAATAGGGTTTCGGGGCTCATCATAGTATAATTATAATAAGGAGCCCCCTCAATAATGTAGGTACTTATCTAGGCCCCTATACTATCCGTGCAGGTGTGCCAGCCCTCGGTGGCTTGAAGCTTCATTGCTTGCAAGACTGGGCACGGATTTGATCGACGATTTCCTTGCCTGGTCTTCAACAACCCTTGGATCGTAGTACCGAGTGCGCTGCTTTTCGAATTTTGTAAAACCAAACCCAAAACCCCTGTGAACCCTAAACCTCGGGCATCTGCTTCATGTCTTTCGTCTGTTTGCTCCACAGGCCCTTGTGTCCACCCTTTCGCTTGTCAGTGCTTTTGCTGCTACTGCTAGTCTCACTGACGCAAGGCCAAGCCAATATCAAAAGACCAACCAAGACCGTAGGAAGTGCCCCATACAATCAGAAACTTGAACCTATAAATCCAAGTAACATGAAAATTAAAGCTGCTGAGCCCTTACAGCTTAAAGCCTACGCCCGTGCCCTGAACCAAGAACGATCTCTCTACCCAAGAACCCCCTGAACCATGAAACTCCAAAGCCTTAAACCTTAAACCATAACTAACAAAAAACCCTAAACCATGCAACCCCTGGAAGCCTGAAGCCCATATGCCCTCAACCCCTAGATCGGCTTCTCCACACCATCCGCCTCGACCTGACCCGCAGTTGGCTCCACATCGCTGATGGTGAGCACGTCGGTGCCAAGGATGTATCTTTCCACCAACCTCTTGGGATTTATAAGGCAACGGCTACCATGCTTACGGCTTAGGGAGCCCCACCACCCGCAGCACCGCAGCGCCATTAGTACCAGTAGCGGACCGGCAGCGGCAACCACAACAACAGCAGCAGCAACAGCAACCACGGTAGTATCAGACACGAGCACTAGCATTAATACCAACATGCAGCAGATCATGAGCAAACGAACAAACGAGTGAGAGAAACAGAGCCTATATCACTCGGTACACCAAGCAGTAAGCAGAATCATGGAAGGACCGGCCTGGCTAAAGTCACAGGAAGAAGGTGATAGGCGCAAACTGCTATCCCCCCAAAAAAAAATAAGCATGACCACCTGTCCTTGCTAGCTCAAGGTATAGGGTTTAGGGTTTAGGGTTACTCACATCCTGGCTGCCTTTGATACTCTGACTGTGAGTCTTCTCCTCATGCATGATCTGCGTTGGCCGTGTACCAGCATCGTTCATAACTCTGCTCTAATACGGCACCCTATAAAACTATGGAACCCAAAAAAAGACTTTAGTTTTGACAACCATCATTACCGCTAGCATCGCCATTTATCATGTTCATCACTGCTGATGTAGCAGTGTGTCTGCGAAATTGCCTCAGCAATCATCCTCTCGTCCGGTCTTCAGCGAGCGAGTGAGCAACTTGCAGATTGGATTCTCCGACTTCTTGGGCACCACGGCGTCTGCACATGATTCTGAGTACCCCGAGAAACCAGGCATACTATAGAGGCCTAAATAATTACTATACTAGTGTGGGGGGTTCCTTATTATGATTATAGTATACGGGGCCCTAAAATCCTATTCTAATTACTAAGGCCCCTAAACCCTAAACCCTTATAGTAGCCCTTATAGAACCCTTTAAGGAACCCTAAAAAAGGGGGCCCAAAAAACCTACTCTAATTCCTAAGGCCCCCTTTATTACAGTCGCCGAGGGCTTCCAGAAGGGAACCCGAGGGTCTCTATGAGGAGTCTCCAAGATGATCGGGGGGAAGACGGTGGTTACCCTACTGCGCGGCACGGTTTAGGGTTTAGGGTTTAGGGTTTAGGGTTTAGGGTTTAGGGTTTAGGGTTTAGGGGTTTAGGGTTAAGCCTTTAGGGTCTAGGAAATTACAAAGGGGAGTTTAGGGTACATAGGGCTTCTATAAGGCTTCTATAAGGTATATAGACCTTCTATAAGGATCCTATACTGGTAACTACCCACCTGAAGATGTCCTCCCTAAACCCTGACGACACCTCCCTGGGTCGTAGTATAACTAAGTACATGGTTCCGATTAAAAGACGAGGAGTCGTCAAAGGGAGAACCGCCAGCCCTGACCCTAAACCCAAAACCGATTACATGTTGGGGCCACCTCTAAACCCTAAACCCTAAAACCTAAACCCTAAACCTAAAACCGCAAACCTAAACCTTAAAGCCTAAACCCTAAACCGGGCCCCAAACCCAAAACCTACTGCTTTTCGGGCCAAAGACCACACTCCCCGGCTCCGGGCCTCCGCGTGTTCTCCATCTCCAGCGCCGCGTGCGTGGCGTGCTTTGCCAGCTCCATGTCATAGGCAGCCTCTTGAGGGCTTGAGGAGATTCGGGACGGCTTAGGGTTTAGGGTCTAGTAGGGTTTAGGGTTTCGGGACTTACCCGGACTCTAAGGAACCTACCTTCAAGGGCTCCTTTCTATGCTCCCGTTTTTTGCATCCTCAAAAAAAGGGTAGGATATTCAGGGTCCAGGCAGTCCCAGAGGGTAGTAGAAGTCGGACTGTCATTCGCATCACTCCACACACGAATCAGGGTTTAGGGTTTAGGGTTTCGGGTTTAGGGTTTAGGGTTTAGGTTACATCCCAAACAAATCTTCGGGGACGCATAGCCCAAAATTTATCCTACACGAACTGAAAGCCCCAACATATCTTTCTTTCAAGGGGTCCTTTAAGGGCCCCTTAAACCCGAAACCCTGAACCCTTTAACCCTAAACCTGACAAACCCTAAACCCTAAAACCCTAAACCCGACAAGCCTAAACCCTAAACCGCAAAAACCTTAGGCCCTAAACCCTAAAAACCCTACACCCTAAACCCTAAAAACCCTAAACCCAAAACCTGAAACCCTTTAGAAGGTGTTAGTTCTCAGGAGCTTCCAGGCATCTTTCGAAGCTGAAGGGTCACGGTTCGGAGTTTGGACTCCTCTTGGCTTCAGGATTCGGACGAGGAGTCGTAGGGTGTAGGGTTGAGGGTCTGGGGGTCTTAGGGCCTTCGGGTTTGGGTATAGGGGTTTAGGGTTTAGGGTGTAGGGTTTTGGGGCTTTGGGCTTTAGGTTTCGGAATTTAGAGTTTAGGCTGCAGGGTTTTGGGTCTCGAGGTTTCGGGTATTGCGGTTCAGGGTTTCGGGTGTGGGAGTTTATTTTTTTTTAGGGATTTAGGGTTTAGGGTTTGTGGTTTGGGGGTTGGAGTTCATCACGTGGTCATGAAGCTTCCATAACAGCACTTGCCAGAAAAGGGCACCAGCCGCCTAGCTCAGCTGTAGTACCCTAAGCCCTAAATCCCTGAACCCCCAAATCCCTAAACCCTAAACCCCTAAACCCATAAACCCTAAACCCCTAAATCGTTAAATCCTAAATCCCTAAACTCCTCAACCCTAAACCCCTAAACCCCTAAACCCCTAAACCCCTAAACCCCTAAACCCCTAAACCCCTAAATCGTTAAATCCTAAATCCCTAAACTCCTCAACCCTAAACCCCTAAACCCCTAAACCCCTAAACCCCTAAACCCCTAAACCCCTAAAACTAGACCCTGAACCTGCCTCCCACGACCCTTCCAAGCCGCTAGCAGCTGCACGAACTCAAGACCCTAAGCAGAAGGGATTAATATAGGGGCTTTTAATGGTTTAGGGTTTAGGGTTTAGGGTTTTTGGTGTATATGTTATACTGTGATGATAAAAAGGAACCCCTAAGGAATACTATGGGTAAGTCTTCCGACCACTGTATTAGTTGCGGCTCAGGGCACCCTGAAACCCGAACCCTAAACCCACAACCCACTCCGGAAAAAAACCCAAAGCCCTAAAACCCCAAACCTTAAACTCCTAAACCCGAAGCCCTAAACCCTAAATACTAAACCCCCAAACCCCTAAACCCTAAGCCCTAAACCTCAAATACGAAACCCCAAAACCCCTAAACCCTAAGCCCTAACCTCAAATCCTAAACCCCTAAACCCCTAAACCGAAAGCCCTAAGCCCGGCAGCCCCTGAACCCCTAAATCCCTAAACCCTAAACCCAAAGCCCTAGACCTCAAATCCTAATTAACCTGAAAGCCGCGAAGAAGACTCACAGGACCTTCCCCGCGCCTGCTTGTGCGCCACGGCGTTCGCCACCTCCCCACTCGGACATTGCAAAACAACACAGGGCTTTGGGTTTAGGGGTTTAGGGCTTTAGGATTTTATGGCTTGGGTTTTTAGGGATTTAAGGATTTAGGGTTTAGGGTATAGGGTTTTGGGCATAATGTCAGGGCTCGATGCAGGTTCTAGGGGTCGGGAGCTAGGAGTTTAGAGTTCGGGGTGCCCCAATCTGATGGAAAGCCATTAAAACCCCTCAGGGTTGAAGATACTGTAGGGACCTTAATAATTAAAGTAGGGTTTGGGGTGTTCCTTATTATAACTATATTATAATATACCCCAAACCCTTATTCTA